AAAACAAAACAAAACAAAAAAAATCCCTCTTAACCCCATGATTGTAGGAATTATAACTTCCTGACTGGGTGAGATCGCTTTGTACACACTTACAGCACCCTGTAATTTTCCTTCATAGACCTCGCAACACTTATAATTCTGTAGTTATTTTTGTTTGGTTATTTGTTTAGAGTCTGTCTCCCCATATCACCGTAAGTCCCAAGAAGGCAGGGTCCAGGTCTGCGGAAGCCCAGCACCAACTCAGGGCCTGACCCCCTGGTGATGGAAGGGAGGGAGGGAGGAAGGAAGGAAGGAAGGAAGTTAGGAATCAGGGCTGGACTCAAGTGAGGGTGGCACGGATGACCTCAAGGGTCCCCATTAATTCAGACGCTCCATTGTCTGTAAGGACCCAGAATTCAGGGATGGCACTCTCTGGAGCCTGTGGAGAGTCCCTGGTGCTGAGTGGCCTCTGCCTTCTGTCTTGCAGCCTGCCTGCAGCATCGGAGCTGCGACGCTTGCATGTCCTCGGACCTGACCTTCAACTGCAGCTGGTGCCATGTCCTCCAGAGGTTTGTGCACAGGGTCACCCACTGATTCCCATAGGCAGACCATGGAGGAGGGGTAGGGGGACAGCCCTGCTCCCAGCCTCAGGCTTCATTGCCCACAGTCTGCCAACATGAGGATCTCTCTGGCCAGTGCTACTCTGATCTGTAGGATAAGAATGTCACAGAAGTGAGTTTCTCCTTGAGGCTTGTGATTGATCAAGGTGACTGTGTGGCAGGATGGCCTGTGGTGACGTTAGGCTTCTGGAAAGTCGCTCAGGGATTCCAACTGCTGCACTCCCTCCTCACTGCCAGGAAGGGTTGGTTCATCCCAGAACAGGGCTCCTCAAAGAGTGGCCCACAGTTGTGGGCATCCCAGACCTAGGCTTCTGTTAAACATGCAGATTCCTGGGCCCCTCCCCAGACTCTTTGCAGCAGGATCCCCGGGAGAGAGCCCAGGAACCTGCATTTTAACAGAGGCCTCATCTGCAAACCAGTGTGAGAACTGCCAGCTCAGAGGCAGGGTATGATCCAAAGACTGACTGCCATTGCATGAGAGCCCTGTGACCCCAAAACACCGCCTCGAGATCTTTCTTGGGCTGCAACAGGGTTTCCTGAAAACCAGAGGTGTGGAGGTTGCAGGCATCCGTGGAAAGTTGGATGCTATGAAGTTGTTTGCTTGGTTTTGGAAACTCAGAAAATTCTGGGTGAGATTCAGTTTCAGGGATAAAGTTCTTAAATCCAACTCATCTTCCACTCCTTGTTCTGAAATCATTTCCTCACAGATTAGACTCAGAACTCGAGCTCTGTTCTCTGTCCAAGATAAATAAATGGCAGGAGGAAAAAGAAAAGGATTTCTTAGGGACTAGGGGTCTCATGGGAATGGGAAGCCCTAAACTCCACAAGCCTTTAAGGCAATCTTGAAAACTGCAAAATTACAGTCTCTGAGTTCCCATGCAGCTGTTGTGTATCTGTCAGCGTTTCCTTTGCTTCTTTCCAATATCCCAGTGCAGAAATAGAAGCTCTCGTCCTGCAGGCAGCCTGCCTAGCACACAGGATACGACTCTGGGCTGGGAGGAGAGGGGGGTGGGTGCTCACCAGGCCTCCCAGGTGTTCTTCCCACCAGCTGTGCTTTTATTCACTCTCTTGGGGCCTCAGTTTATTTACCCTGTAGAATGGGCTGAGGTTATGTGATTTGAGGAGAGGTGGGTGAGAAACACATCATTATTTAAACTCCTCAAATACTAAGTAGTATCTAGGGTCCTTCGCATGAAAGTCACAGAGCCTCAGAGAGAATATGTACAGAAGACCCCAGGTTGGTTCTTC